CCATTTTCGGTCCAGTCTCGACGGCTATTACTCCGTCTCCGCTGCTAACCGGACTACCAACCAGTTCAGCAGCTGCGGGGCTGTATATTATGCCGTCTGTGGGTCAAATCGAGGCCGAAATGAAGCCAACAGCGTCTCCAAATGGTGAAACACTAGGCGAATTAGTAGTAAACCGACCGCCGATGCAAAACTCGACGCGTAAACGACAGAAAGAAGAGCTCACGTATCTCCGCAATAAGGTACATACACTGGAGCAAGAGCTGGAGACCAGGCGACAAGAACTGATGACCTCAAAAGGTCACGACAAAGAGAACAACGCTCTGACCGTCCAGATCAGAGGCCGACGCGGACGCGCCATGCGCTGGCAACGCATCGCCAAGCACCAATTGGTGGAGAAACAACGAGCTGAACTTCAAAATCTACAGCTAAGAGCGTCACTTGTATATCAGCTCAAACTGGCTCGTAGTTTACAGAAACTACTTAAGAAAAACGCATCTAGGAAGGACGGGGGCACAGATGCGGCGCAGCTCCAGACGCGACTAGAGTTTAGTAATTACTGCACTGGCACTAGTGAGGACTCACTGTACGAACAACTGCTACGAGACATGGACGCAGTGTATGCAGAAGTGGACACAGTCTGTGCCAGACACCCAGTCATGAGGAAGGCTCCGGTGTCTCTAGCCTTCATGTGGGCGAGACGGAGGCCTTGTACTTGGAAGCCACAAATTCCAAGGTAGTCCCCTTCAGGATGGAAGAGACATGCTCAGCCGTGTGGCGGTGTTTATCAAAGGACCACTTAAAACTGGCTGATGGGACGTATCATGGGGTGGCTACCTCGCCCGATACTATCCGCGCAAAAGCTGTCACGGCGCTGCGAGTGGATAAAACTGCAGCACACTTGCAGATGCGCTTCGCCATCAAGAAATACGTGGAGCCACAGCGTGTGGTGATTACTCTTCAGTGTGCTTCAGAGAGTGAAGGTCCTCGCGATCTGCTTCATGGACTTAAGATGATGCAACGCGCGTGGGTTGTTATCCGACCAGTGCTCTTTGAAGATGGCGATGATGAGACGATTATTCAACTGTGTATGCGTCTTACTCCGTCGTTGTCAGCCCGTGTCCTTGATACGCCAGGTCAACGAACTGGAGCCATCACGGAGCTGCTTCTTGCGGCAGTTCATCGGAATCTAGGGTGGCTGTTTCAAACAGTTGAGAATATCTTGATGGAGCACAATTTTGGAAATACGCTACTTTGAATGAAATTTGCGCCGAAGATGAAAGTTGATTATCTGAAAACGTATTGCGGCAACTTTACTGTGACAATTGAAGTGCAACGTGGTACCGCAAACGACATAATGACTTCGTCACACCACTTTTCCAATGTCAGCTTGGCTAGAAATAGCATCTTGGTAATCTATCGCCAACCAATCAGCATACGCCAACTCAAGTTTGACAAGCATGACAAATGGCTACATTGCAGTGGTCGCAGTTACTGGAAGTTCGTTCTAGACACAACTACATTTTCCCTTTTACCAACCAACCTACGCAAAACTATACAAACATAACATAGGCAATCTCGTTTCTCAATACCTGGAAGCAGCGCTAGACCGCATGGCCAACTACTGGACGAAGCCAAGTCGTATTCTCCTACTTGGTCTTGACGGTGCTGGCAAGACAACGTTGTGTACAAAATGAAGCTTGGAGAAGCCGTGACCACCATCCTGACCATCGGGTTCAACGTCGAGACTTTTCAATACAAGAATATCGAGCTCACAAATGGAAGGGTAGATTTGATCCTCAGGTAACGCGCCGCGCCGCAACGTAATGTAGTAGTGCCTCGCACTAAGTAGAATTGAGAATGAATAAAGGTTGTCGCTAGCTACGTGGTTACCCTAGCTAACTGCTTGTGCATCCGTTTCTGTTAGGTCTCAGCGTTGGTTGCTGTCGACAGGTATTTGCTGGCGTTACGTGATCGATCTCACGTGACGCAAGCCACTACTTCCAACACTCCTCCTCGACGGCAACAACCGTAGATCTTTTACATGACCAGCTTCAGCATAGTCACATTGCGCCCATGCAACGTAGCGCCAAGAGGTTTGGTCAGAATGTCGGCCCTCATATCTGTTGTAGGACAGTAGCGCACTTCAATGTCCTTGTTGCGAATGGCTTCGCGTATGAAGTGAAACTTGATGTTAATATGTTTCATGCGTGCCGTGGTGACATCGTTCTCCATATTTTTTATGGCGCTCTGGTTGTCGATGTTGAGGATAACAGTATCCTTCTTGCCCAGGTTGAGCTCTTCAAGCAATTGTTTTACCCATAGGCAATCCTGCACCGCAGTCGCACCTGCAATATATTCGGCTTCGGCCGTTGACAAGGCCACTGTAGACTGCTTCTTGCTGTACCACGAGATGGGCATGTCGTTCATTACTAGGAGGCCACCAGACGTAGACTAAGCGTCCTTGCCGCCAGCCCAGTCAGCATCACTGAAAATGACTGCTTTAGCATGTTGTTGTGATCCTTGAGGCTTAATGAATGCGAGTTTCAATCCTCGCGATCCTTGTAGGTAGCGTAGCACTCGTTTGATACCTGTCCAATGAGCAGTAGTCGGGGACGAAACAAAACGAGCGAGATAATTCACCGGCATGGTGATATCTGGCCTTGTACACGTGCTTAACCATAGTAACGATCCGATTGTCTCTCGCATAGCGTCTGTGTCGAAGAAGGGCTCGCTGTCCTCTGTCTCTAATGCACGCGTCGATTCCATTGGTGTTGCGACAGGACGACAGTTTTCCATGCCAAGTTTTGTAAGAAGTTGGTCAATATTGGCAGATTGTTGTAGGAAGATGCCCGATTCGGTCTGCTCGATACAGATGCCCAAGCATTTCTTGGCCTCGCCCATGTCCTTGATTTGGAATTGGTTGTTGAGCATCTCCATCGTCCAGTCTGTATCGCTGCTTCGCTGGCTGACGATGATAACGTCGTCGACGTACAATCCCAACACTGTCAGCTTACCATCGGACCGCCGGAAGTACAGGCATGGGTCGAGCTTGCTTCGCTCGAAGCCTAATTCTAGTAGGTAGTTGTGAATCTCGTCATTCCAGAGTTTTCCGCTTTGCTTTAGACCGTAAAGGCTCTTAAGCAGCCGCAGCGACTTTCCTTTTGGTAGTTTTAGGCCTTCTGGTGCTTTCAGGTAGATAGCCCGGTCCAACGCGGCTCGTAGGTATGCGTTTGGTACGTCTCCTTGACGGATGACGGCTTGCCAAAGTGCTGCTAAAGCGACAATAAGTCGCAGACTAGCGATCTTCAACACCGGGGCAAACGTTTCTCCGAAGTCGATACCATACTTCTGGTTGAAGCCACGTGCGACAAGTCTAGCCTTAAATCGCTCGAGTTCGCCCTTGTTGTCGAACTTCAGCTTAAATACCCATTTCGCAGTTATCAGGTTTCCGTCAATGGGTGTATCAACAATTTCCCACGTTGCATTTTCGGCAATAGCTCGCAGCTCCTCCTGCATCGCCCTTTCCCATTCTGGCCATTGTGAGCTGCATCTAGCTTCCTTGACAGTTGTCGGCTCTGTAATGTTCTTACCTGCGAGCAGAGTCGATAGTGCTGCTCCGCCTTGAAGTGATACAGTGAGTAACGCACTTACTGGAGTCGAAAACTCATCGATAAAGGACTGAGGCAACGTGAAGTCGTTATTTGGGAGCGGCCGAGCTCCGCGATTCAGACCAAAGACGCGCTGGATTGCGCGTGCACTCGGCTCATGATTGCCTTCCGCGTCCTCGGGTTGTACGCCATTGACTTCCGTTTGTTCATAGGGTTTGCGAGTGTTTTCTTGCTCGCCGTTGCCAGCCGCAGTCTCACCCCTGATTTGTTCTTTGTCGACGGCATCCATGTATCGCCCCACAGCTCGCGCATCAATGCGGTCAATATTTTGAATATGAGTAGTGGTCACCATACGCTTGGTACGCGGGATGAAAACCTTGTATGCCTTCTTATGGGTGTCAATTCCGACGATGATTCCTTTCTCAGCACGTTTTTTAGTCGATTTCTTAGCTGTATGAGCAATATGGCTGGTACACTTAGCCCCGAACCGTAGTATGTGGGAGATACTCGGTGTTTTACCCGTGAGAGCTTCGATCGGTGATGCATGGTCTGCGTTCGATCTAGTCGGCAAGTGGTTGCGGATGTAGCTCGCATAGAGAACAGCATCACCCCAGAAGCGTTGAGGCAACGCGGAGGCCCACAACATCGCCCGGGCCGAATCCATCACAGTTCTATGAAAGCGCTCGGCTTTACCGTTTGACGAGGACATTCCTGCCTCGGTTGACTGGTGTCGAATTCCTCGATTCAACAGAAAACGATCAAGGCGCATGCTTCCAAATTCGCCACCTCCATCAGATCGGAGGACCTTCACCTTGATGTCATACTGACGTTCGAACTCGTTAATGAAGTCTTCAATATTTCCCTCAGCATCACTCTTTTTGTAAAGGAGATAGACCCGGTTGAAATTTGTAGCGTGGTCGACAATGGTCAAAATGTGCTTATGGCCTAGGCGATCTGGAGTCATGTCGGTCTTCAAGTCTACACAAAGTGTTGCACCTGGTTCATCCATTGGGGCCGAAGTGGAAGTATCATGCGTGTTCTTAGCTCGACGAGCTTGCTTTGCTTCCGCGCAATTCATGCAAAAATTCACATTTTTGTTCGTAGCGATCATGCCTTCAACGAGCTTCTTGTCGAGCATTCGAACAAGATCCTGATAATTAACATGGCCGAGTCGCTCATGCCATTGCCGGAGTGTAGAGGATGTCATCGCTGCGAATGAGGCTGCACCGTGCTCAATCCCGATAGACCATAGGCTGTTAGTAGGAGATCGGCCCACTTCCGCAAGAACTTTGCCAGTTTTGCTTCGAATAATGCACTTCTCATTTTCACCGAAGGTGCACGAGATGCCTTTCTTACTCAGCTGACCAACCGAAATCAAATTGTGATCGATATCCTTCGCGAAATACACGTTCTCCAGCAAAATAGTTCGCTTAACTCCTTTCACAGTCACAGTGATAACCGTACTACCTCGCTCTGTAGCCGGAACGAGATTTCCGTTTGCAACTCGGACGGATAAGTAAGCTGGTTCCATCGCGAAAAGCTGACGACGGTCGCTGCACAAATGGTGAGTAGCTCCTGAATCGACTGTCCACGTACCATCGTGCTCAGGCTGCTTAGTAGCTTTTACCGCCATCCAGACGTGGGCTTCAGCGTCGGAGTCGTGTGCCGAGTCCTTATCTTCCTCACATTCTTCACTAGCAGCCGCGATGTTAGCATTCCCGCTTGACGCCATTCGTTTTGCCTGTTCAACCACTGGACACGAAAAAATCTTGTGTCCAGGTTGACCGCATACGTGACAGCGTATCTCGCCTCGATTCCCAGTGGTAGCAAATGCTTGACCGTTATTTTGATGGGGAGTTGACTTAGCAGCATAGTCGCCATTATTTCCGTGGCTACCCCCACCATTGTGGTCAATAAAGCGATTGTTGCGCTCGTGGTTGCGAGCACCATGCGATTTACTGCGGTCTCCGTGGCGATTTTTACGCTGAACGCCACTTTTGCGACCATCGCCCTTCAATTTATAAAGCAGGCGCTTCATGCGGTCCGTTTCCGCGGCGTAGTCTGTTGACTCCTCCGATATTGAGGATAACAGCGTAGGGGCAAGCTCAGGGCACGCGTTGTTGCCAAATACTTCCATGACAAGTTTTGTCTGGTCGCCCTCCATTAAGCTCTCAATGAAGTTCAAATATTCCACGTAATCGTGCCATGAATCGCCTTCACGCTTGTAGCATTGCATCTTCGTGCTAAGTTCGAGTTGACTAAGTTTGCAGCCAAACTCTGTTAGTAGCGCTCGCTTCACCTCGGAGTATGGCATGTCTTCTCCTTCATGACGCTGTCTCCACTCTGCATTTTTCTTGTGGTAGTGTCTGGATGCGTTACCTTCGAGAAAGTTGACAATTATTGACGCCTTGAACTCGTCCGTCCATGTCGAGCCATTCACGAGTCCTTCTGTCCTGACTGCGTGCTCGAATTCATGGATGAAGCTCTCGAATCCTGCGCCAAGACCAGGGTAGACCTCGGTTCCTTTAAAGTTCGGGCATCGAACATCCTTAATCTTAGGTTTCTTGGGGGTAGGAGGAGCTGTGGCCATGCTAGTGTCTGACATTGATAGTGTTCTAGCGTCCAGTTGCGTCCTCACTGCCGCAAGTTCACTTTGTAGCTGCCGTATCAGCTGGAGCTGGCTGTGTAGCTCTACACTTTCGCGATCGGCTTCATCAAAGCGAAGATCATCAGGGAAACCCAGCGTGTTCGGCCGTGGACCTTCACGAGCGTCAGCAAAGACGTCAGCACCTCGTGCATTCATTCCGCCTTGATCTTCGACGTCGCTTCGCGTATTATTATTAGTCGCAGTTGGCTGGGCAGTTGGGCTCATAACCAAATGGAAGGGTAGATTTGATCCTCAGGTAACGCGCCGCGCCGCAACGTAATGTAGTAGTGCCTCGCACTAAGTAGAATTGAGAATGAATAAAGGTTGTCGCTAGCTACGTGGTTACCCTAGCTAACTGCTTGTGCATCCGTTTCTGTTAGGTCTCAGCGTTGGTTGCTGTCGACAGGTATTTGCTGGCGTTACGTGATCGATCTCACGTGACGCAAGCCACTACTTCCAACACTCACTGCCTGGGATATCGGCGGTCAGAGCAAACTGCGACCGCTGTGGCGCTTCTACTACGAAGGGGCCGATGCTGTAGTGTTCGTCATCGACTCGGCCGATCGCTATCGGATCGACGAGGCAGTCCAAGAGTTGCACCGTGTCTTTGAGGACGATGCACTTCGCGACTGTAAGCTACTTGTTCTGGCCAACAAACAGGACCACCCAGGCTGTATGAACGTCGAAGAGCTCCGCGAGAAATTGGCACTACATCGAGTGACAAGAAACCCGTCGCATATATCGAAGACAGTGGCTGTGTCAGGACAAGGCGTTGACGAAGGCATGATGTGGCTCAGCAAGGTCGTCACTGGCAAATAGCGTCATCATAACGAGCAGAACGTGCAACTTTTTTTGGCTTATGTAGTACATTAATACAGTACATGATAAAAACTAAAGAATTTTATAGACAACGCCATCATTTTCACCATCTCGCATTTAATGCAGAGCGATGGAGTGCAAACGCAATACCTGACCGAACGATCACATCCCAACCATTTGCGTTTCAACCAAGCAGCGAGCGCGTATCCTCGACAAGAAGCAGTTTTTCCAACACATGATGCATGACGATCACAGTGCGATGGTGGCACCCTACAAGGACATTCGCGAGTGTCCCGACGGCCACATCACTTGCAGAAAACGCCGCTTGAGTCAAGCCTTGACCCAAAGGCGAGACTCTCACACAAGTCGGTGTGAAGCTCATAGCTCGATCCGAAGCAAAATGAGGTGTACGTTTGCGGTCGAAGCACGTCCAACCTCTCTCTTGAACTGGGCCTTTTTACGAGCCTTCAGTCTGCACCATGGCGTGCAAATGATGCACGTGCGACAGCGTTTTACTGTCAGCCAGACGGTCACTAGAGTCTCCGCTTCAGGTAACCACACCATGTCCGACAGCAACGACGTCATTGGAGACCTCATAGAACCCTAGAGGCAAGTCGACGTTCCTGTCGGCAAGACAATGTCACACCGTTTGATCCACAGCGTTAAGACTGAACGGGAAGACTTAGCACTCTGCGTTTACTAAGATCTCGTCGTGGCTATTAGTAGTCGAACGAAGCGCGGCTGGGCACATAATGTAGCCTTCAAAGTGAGCAATTCCAGCAGACTGGAAGACGCTGTCGGATTGTTGGTATTGGGTCTCCAGTTCTACTCGAAGAGAGTCAAAGATGGCGGTCTCGCTGTCGAATAAACTACCACGGAACAGCATCTCCGGACGTCTGTGAAACGCAAAGGGCACGACGTGAAGGTGCAATAGTTCCAGGAACAGCCCATTGGTGACGTTGCGCTTGACGTCACGCCGTCGACCAGGACATGGCAAGTCGTACAAACCCTTTGCAAGGAATAATTCGTCTACACCGACGTAGAGCTCATCTGTGTCTTGCAGCATTTCTTCGAAAACCTGTGCATTGTCATCCGGAACACCAACATCGAGCATCTTCTGTCGCTTCATACCCATCTGTAGCATAATTTAAACCAGCTAAGAGTCAATAAATACGAACACAAAGACAAGTTGTACTTGCCTCGATCTTGGTTCGGCGCTTGAGCCCTCGCAGCAAGTTCCTGGCCTCGTGGATCTGAATTCTGGAGCATTTCCCGAAGTTTCGCGTTCTCCTCTTCGGATTTTTCCCGAGTTTCCAGCTGTCTCGCCGCGATTTCTTCCCACATGGACGCTCGCGGAACAAGGTGCCCATTGTGTATTTGTACTGTCGATCCGGGCGGTCCTTGAGGCAGTAGACTCTGCAAATGGTCGTTAAGCTCCTGGACTTCTCCGCGCAGACTGTCAATTTGCTGCTTCCGAGAGATCCGAACCCGCTTCGGTTTCTCGAGCACCGAGTCTTCCGAAGACGCCGGGCTCCCGTTACTAAGATTGCTCGCTTCGTCACCGGAAACCTCGATACTTTGCTTGTTACCCTGTGTCGCCACGGGTTACCCCTCTCCACACAGAGCGTTGAGTCTGAGCTCATCTTCATGAGATATCTCAGAAAACTCTGGCATTCCGTGAGTCTCGTCATCGAAACCAGTCGGTAGGTCGATCTGCGAGAGGAACGAGAAGACGGCGTCGAGCGTCTCAGTGTCTTCCAGCATGGTCGAGTGGCAGAGGATGACTGACGTTACTAGGTCGACTCGTTTTAAGTGATCAAGTCGAAGCTTACGGCATTGACGCGATTCGTCTGTGGTGGCCAGCAAGTCGCTGCCGCAGGTGGGACAGCCCAGCGTCTGAACAATAGCCAGCTGGTTGATGGCGCGTACCGCACCTTCCAGCGAGCATATCTCCAGCATGTTTACAAAGGCGTTCCAACGGTACTGTCGACACTTTTGGACTCAACACTTTTTGTCGAAACTTGAGTTCAATCACGTGTAAGAAAACCTCGACTTGTTGTGGAGGATAGATGCAGTTCTAATAAGAAGAGCGAGGAATTCCGGGCCTCTATAACAACGACTTTCTCTTCGATTAAGGTTCTTATCGTCACATTGACAAGATGAGGAACATAGCTCATGACAAAGAACCGATTACGCCAATTTCCCAGTGTAGACTCTCGTCTCGAGAGGAAGGCGCGAAAATCCAGTCACATCGAGTCAAGGATTGCTGAGTTATAATAATAACAGCGAGGTGGTTGGAGATGGATTTTCTTCTGCGTCTCCACTTGTTTAAAATAGTCGAGACTGGTGATCGAACGAAGCGATCGCTCCTAAGAACGTCGGGACACAGCAAAGTGATTGCCAGCTGATCGCCTGCTCTCAAGAGGATTTTTCCACATGGCTGGGACATCCACACAACTCAAACTTCTGGACGGGGCTGACACGCGAACGCCATGAGTGGATTGACGCCTAATGCCTTTGCGAATGAGCCCTCGGGGCTGCAAGACGTCTTGGCGTTTATCGCCGACTTTGAGATGGAAGACAGTCATGACAGTGACGACTGGATGGAGGACGATGCGTCAATGTCGGGACAGGGCAAAACACAAGACACTCAACTCGAAGAGCTCTTCGTGGACAGCGGTACAAACAGCAACAAACCGGATAAGGTGGTGGTACCTTCCAATGCCACTGTGGCTACGTCAATAATGCCTCGGCGACACCGTGTGAGTCGCAAGGAAGAGTTGGATTATTTGCGAAAAAAAGTTACAGAAATGGAAGATAAACTCGAAAAGCTCAAGAACCAGGGGGAGGGCGATGGTGCTTCTCCTCCTGTTGCACCTGTGGCCCCAGAGGATGTACAAGCAGCCATGCAACTAGAACAGTATGTTGCATTATGGAAGAAGATGGCTCAGCGACAGAAAAGTCAGCGAGAACTGGTCGAATCTGAGAACACCAAACTGCGTGAGAAGCTCAAGACGCAAGTGCGCATGGCCAAGAGCTTGCAGCGTATTCTACGTAAAAGAGAGCGAGCAGCCGAAGAGGTACGCAGCGAAAATATTCTCGCTTTGGTTTGTTATTTGTTTTGCTAATAATTCGCTGTAGATTACGGCAGAGTCGCCGAAACGGTTTAAACAACTACCCGAAGCTGCTTCGACGTGCGAATTCGACGCACTGATACAAAATCTAGACTCATTATACGCTGTTACGAACGAACGCGTCGCACTCTGCCCTGTGGCGTCAGGTGCCGAGCCAGTTCTGCGCAAGCAAGACGTCAAGTACAATGACTTCACGGGAATGTCTCTGGAGTTTCTACATAGTAAGCTGGTGCCTTTCGATGTGGCTGCTGTGAATCGTGCGTCATGGCGTCATATGAGCGAGCCTGGTATCAAGTTCAACGCATACTTTGAAGAGGTATGTTGCTGCCAGTACAGTCAGTACCAATGAAAACCGTAACACTAACGCACACCGAAAAACAGTCTGCTAATATGACAGAAAACACGGTAATGCGGAAGTTTGGCGTCGAGATTAAGCTGGACACGCGTACTGCCAAGATGGGCGGAAGGCAAGCTATCCGCCGATACGTCGAAAGCGACCGCATAGTGGTCGTGCGCGAGTCCATCATCGACCGGGCGGAGCTTGGAGGCGCTGCTGCTCCAGGATTTCGAGACGTTGGCTGGCTTGTGTTGAAAGATGTGACGGGCCAAACCTCGGCTTCCGGGCCCATGACACTAATTAAATCATACTCGACACTCACCCCCGACTTGGACTTGGACTCGACGTGGGAAGTGGGTGCGTTGACAGAGTTTGTATTGCAGTCTCGCAAAGATATGGAGGTCGGGAACGAAAGCATCGTCGAGAACGTGCTATTGGAAGAAGCAAATAGAATCAATTTGGTGCAATTTACTTCGATAACTACGATAAAATGTTTACCACCTAACTTAAGTATTTCAGATTGTACATAATAATGATCACAGCACGTACCGTGAGTGATACAGTTACTGACGTTATAGATGAATATTTAGGTTGTTGTATGATCATTACCATTTTCTACTCATTTTCCCCTTGTCTTATCACCATTACCAAAAAAGACACCAAGAATGCAAGTCGCTCCCCGACAGGACGCAGCCGATTTCAATGACTTCCTAGCGTTCGTTGACGAATTCGCGATTGCTGAGTGTGCGCCACCAAGCCCCAAGAGCTCGTGGCTCGATGGTTTGGAAGATCTTTTCAAAGAGACTAGTCCACAACAGAAGTTTCTGGCAAGCTCTACCGATGTTCGCAACGAGGTACGCCCTGCCAAATCTGATATATCGCTGTCATTGACGACAGCTCGGGACACGAAGAAGTCCCCCGGGCGACCGCGAGTTAGTCGCAAAGAGGAACTCGAGTACTTGCGCTTGAAGGTGACGGAGATGGAGAATAAGCTGCACGAGTTGAAAGAGAAGCCACACAGTGCTTCTCCTCATCCGATGACCATTAACAACCAACAACTTTCAATGGAGGTCGATAATTCCATTGCTCTTTGGAAGACCATGGCTGAGCGTCAGAAAGCCCAACGTGAGCAGGTCGAGGTTGAGAATGCCAAGCTACGCGAGAAGCTCAAGACTCAGGTTCGAATGGCGAAAAATCTCAAGCGGATCCTCTCCAAGCGCACGCGAGGTGAAGACCAGGTACATCACACTTTATCCAGTACCATGATAGCTACCGCAGCTGACATTTGTGACTAATGATAGGTTTCGAAAGCCCCGAAGAGAACGAAGCCACTGTTGCGCGGTGTGAATAGCAGCGCCAGTGTCTTCGATGAAATGTTACAATATCTTGATAAACTGTACGTCCAGACCGACAAACGCATCGCAAACAGCCCCTTGGCATCGATGGAACGCCCAGTCGTTCGCAAGAGAGACGTAAAAGCCACCGATGTTGCTGGAATGTTTCTCGAATTCCAAGATAGCAAACTTTGGCCGTTTGATCTACACACTGTCAGTACAGCAACCTGGCGCTTTCTAACGGAAACTGGGCGCGAATTCAGCAACTATGTCGAAGAGGTTCGTTGTAACTTTCACGTAAAACTATGCTACAATGTGGGTAACATTTGTAACTTTTCAGCATGTAGAGATGCGCGGCAACACGATGTTGCGCAAATTCGGCGTCGAATTCGAACATGGCAACAATGTGGCGGTTTTATTCGGGAGGCAAGTGACACGGCGATATGTTTCCAGCGATCGCGTTGTGCTTGTTCGCCACACAATCATCGACGAGATTCAACTGCCAGGCACTCAAACAAGCGGCCTCACATTTCGCGAGTCAGGCCGGATCGTAATGCGAAATGCCCCAGCGTTAGGCACCGGATTGGCCACTGTAACACAAGGATATTCGACCATGACACCAGACGTCGACTTGAACGCACAATGGGAAATCGGAACGTTGACGGATTTCGTGTTGCAATCACGCGAAGACATTGAAGTGGGGAACGATACGATCATAGAAAATTTGCTCCTTGAGGAGGCGGCAAAGCAAACTATCTCGTAGAATAGTAAAAAGAAATACACCTATCTCGGACCTCCGTTACTTTCTCATGGCATCTTCGATAAGCGCGTCCTCTACAGACTGGTGGATGCCATCAAGGTTCTCCAGGAACGAGCTAGTCACAATATCCGTGAGGAGCATGAGTTCCTCTTGGCTGCGTGGCATCACCTCAGGTAGTTCAGTCCGCACTCTCACACACGTCTGGATGATACAGATTTCCGTGGTTTCCCCAGAGTAACGTTCGATAGACGTCCATCCCGTGTCGTGATGATGCATACTCTGAGCTCTGCTGAGAGTGCCTTTAACGTTCGTTTCACAGGCCCACACAAAGATACACCTGTCTTCTTCAATAAAACGTTTTACTGCGAACCAGGCGTCTTTTTGCACTTGATGTTGTTGATATTGCACTGTGAATGCCATCTTGGCCGACAACGTATCTTCCGTCCCGTCGATTAACTACATAAAGTAGCGTCAGCAACTCAGCTCATAAGACACTAAAAATAACGGGTGAACTCACCGAGTAGTGGCCTTCTCGAAGTTTAAGATGCGGTTGAGCCATACAGCGCCAGAATTGTGTGACAGTGGTGCGCACATCAAACGGAAGTATCTTTGAAGCTAAAAACTCCATGAAACATACCATAGATGCCGTCCGGCTTGACCTGCATGTGCTGTCCGTCCGTCTTCTTGAGGGCAGGCGTCTGTTTGTTTGTATTGCGCGTCCAATTAGCGTAAGATTCGATCGAAAATAACGTTCTCGGCCTCAAATTCCACCCGTACGCGCTTCCTTTCATTAGCCCACGCTCCGGACTCCTCCATGGCTGATCGTTTTCTTAATAGCTTATCGAGGTTCTGTACAATCGTCAGTTGACCTTCCACCAGGCCTCGGAGCTTCCCATTCTCTTTCTCGGCCCTCTTTTTGCCCTCAAACTGGCGTCTTGCAACTTTCCTCCACACTGAGACGTCCGCTACTGTCTCTTCTTGTTGCTCAATCGAGACCTCTCTGCTCTTTAGTTGCTGCAACTGCAACTCGATCTCTTTCGCTTTTACTCGAAGATACTCTAGTTCATCTTTGCGTGTTTTACGGCGTGGCGGGGCTGCCACTGGAGTGATGGTCGTGGAGTTTGGCGAAGTGTGCGTGTCGGCTGAAGTGCTAGAGCTGGTGTCGCAGGGCCAGCTCTGGGTGCTGACAGGGTCTGTGGTCACTTCCAGTAGCTCCACAGGCTTTGGGAACAGCAACGTCGGGTCTAACTCGTTAACTAGGCCATGTGAGATTGTAATTCGGATGCCAATTCGTCGTCTTCGGGTTGCAAAAACTCGTCGAGCGTGAGAGGGATTGGGGAATTGGATTCGAAGGATTGGGTAAACTAAAAGAACGGTAAGTCTATAAAAGTGCACTTACCTATAAAAGTGCAAGCTCAGTAGCGAAACCAAATCAAGGTGAAAGTTTATTTGCTTTCTATAAAAAAACAGTTCTGAATACCGGTATGGGCGAATACAACACGAGGTACATTACGTCCTTACAAGTACAGTACAGTACTCTTGCCTACAGCATCTTCGACTTGAGCTGAGCAAAAGCCTTCAGCGGCTCGTCACTTTCCGGGTCTACGACATCAGCCAGCTTTCCCTTGTCGCGTGCGTCGCGCATGCGGTGCCATGGTCGTAGCGCGCTTACGCTCCGTGATGAGGCCGAAGAGCGCGCAAATGTCGATGATGAGCTCGGTGGGGTTAAACTGCAGGAACTCGCCCTCACCCGTGGAGTAGTCGTACGGGAACTTGTGGTGCCAGTTGTGCCAGCCCTTGTGAGCTATAAAACTTACCTGCGTGTCGAGCGCCAGTGCATTGCAGTCTGCCAGTGTCCGGTGCCCCCATCTACGAGCCACCGTCCACTGCCAGTGTCTGCCAAGACACATCCCAAGGACACTCATGCGCCTGGCAGTGCAGCTTGCGGCTGCACTACAACCGGCTACACTGAGTACACATGCGTGCAATGGCGAAGGACTATACCAAGGACTGTATGCACAAGGACATCGTTGCTGTTCGCTGCCAAGATGA